CTGATCTGAGCAGAGTCTGACTGAGTGCCACACCCATCCCAGAACCAGAGAGCGGGACGAGGGACGTCCTGAATGCACAGCAACCCTGCAACGTGGTGTGGAAAGCAAGACAGCGCGACAGCACCTGGACATTACTGAACAGCCAATATCGGGTACGTCCTACCTCCGCCGGACAAGGGGCGTGGAGGTCTAGACGGGTTTGTTCACCTGTGCCCGGGGAAGCATGCTGCCACAACCCGAAGCGAAGCCGGGCAGGTGCCTAGAGGCCAAGCTTCGGACTACAGCCCCAAATCTCGACCTTGAAAACATGGGAAGTGTATTTCTATGCGGAGGATGTGGTTTTAGTAATTACAAACTGGCCGCGGGGGATTGGTTGTGCGATCTGCCAGGTCGAGTTTCACAGTCATTTTTTAAATCTGTGATAGGAAAAAGTCCGAGTTCGTAGTATTTTTGGATTAGCGAAAGAAACGGATTACATTTGTCAATGGAGACAGGCAAATGTTGTTGGATTCTTTACTTTTGTTATAAATTTTATAATGACCATGAAAATAATTTCTTGCCAATGATAACTAAAAGAACCAGAGATCATTCCAGTCAAGTGGCCAATCACCCTAATTCAGTGGCTATTCTTAGCTTCAGTCATGATGGGATGACCAGATATATTTATGTCATGAAATATAAAGTAGACAATATCACCTATGATGCAGTCTAGTCAAAAACGCTTCATCTGAATCTAGCAAGACTTAAGATGTAAATTTCAGTTTCTAGGAAATGCAGGAGATAGAGAAACAAGATAAATGACACCACAGGAAGTAATTAAATTAGGGATTATGTTTTCCATTTGTTAGGTCGTGTTTTTTTGTGATCATTTTTTGATGCTCTCTATTAAGGCTCTGTACCTCTTTTGTAAGATTTATTCTTTAAAAATTTCTCTTCTTTATTAATATTATAAAACATACCTTGTTTAAAATTGGATTTTCTGTTCCTTATTGGAGTAAGAAATAAAATTAAGATTCAGATGCCTGGAAGAAGAAGAAGAAAAAAAAGAATCCATATATTGGTTAGATCCTCAGCTATATCTTCATTTAATCTAATCAGTCATCATGTGACTTGCTTTATTCATGGCCTAATTACCTATGCTTAGCCCTAAAATTTAGTTTTTCATGTCTGAGAGCTGAAGGCCTAATTTAGGAACTCTATTTCAATTCTAAGTTTACATATGTGTACACATTATGTTTGATGTGCTGCGTTTAGTTTCCCTTCCCTGCTGTTTTTATTGTTGTTCACCCTTCCCCCCCCCCCTTTCTGATGCGCTGACACGTTATCTATTATTTAAACTTACTCTTAGGTGACTTTGCACCAGGTTACTTTTCCTTCTAAGGGGCTTATTTTGTTTCCTGAATTTTTCAGAGTGAGAATGTACCAGACTCATTTTCCTTGAAGTGGGGATCTATCACACCATAAAAGCATCCCCTTCCAACCAATCCCACTTAGAATCTGTCTGTGACCTGTGTTCTGAGCCAGTCTGAAGAAGAATCCCTTAACAGGGATCCTTTGCCGTAATGCGCCTAGCTCACAGAATCGTAGCTTGCAAAGCCTATGCTCTAGCTCGTAACGGAAAAAGGCAAGTTTACCGTGCCTCTGGCAGGACTCCAAACATCTGAAATGTTAGAACATGGTGCTTTTATGCTGAAACGTTACACAATCCCTGGAGCGCGAAACTGCCGTGTTCCCACTACTGATATGTTAGGGACTGAGGGGCAATGAGGTAGCAGGTTCCATAATAAAGTATCTGTATCTAGGTGGCAGTGGCAGCACGGACACTTGAAAGACAGCATTCAATTTAGGCATTTTCCATCCTGGAGATGGTGAAAGAGAATATTGCAAGGACTTTTAAAATCCCTCCTACAGCAACCAGAACACCACTCATCGTCAAGGTTTTACAAATCACTTTTTTTTGGTCTCTGGAGTAAATCCCTTTATCTACAGTTCGGGACCCTAGGATCAGAAGAAGGAGACATCTTGATCCTGACATGGAAATCAGAATTCTCTGGATTAAATGCCTTAAGAGAAGATTCCTTTCCCTTTGTTGAGTCTGGTTTCTAGAACAGTCTTTTTTCAGAAGGTAACTGCAATATCTACTAGTTCTTAAAAATATTTACTGGATCGTGAAAAGATGAATTCCTTGCAACCCACTGCCATGAGTCAAATATAAAGAAATAAATACAAAATGCATGCCCTTCAGCCTCCAAGGGCAGATGGGGGGAAGGGACATTTATTTCTTTTTTTAAGTTTATTTGTTTTGACGGAGAGAGAGAGAGAGAGAACAAGCAGAGTAGGGGCAGACAGAGAGGGAGAAAGAGAACCCTAAGCAGGCTCCACACTGTTAGCACAGAGCCCCATGTGGGGCTCGAACCTACCAACTGTGAGATTAAGCGCCCCCCCCCCCCCCCCACATCAAGAGTGGGATGCTTAACCGACTGAGCCACCCAGGTGCCCCTCTCTTTCCTGACATTTAAAAACCTGCAAGGAAAGATGCAGACTCACCGAGGGAAACTAACTCAGAGTAGACATTGATTGTTCCAACAGAAACAAACCAAACCTGAGGCCTCCCCAGAAAGGTATGGCAGAACCTGGTTTTGCCACTGCCTGGGCCAGCCCCTTGGATGTCACTTGGCCGCGCCGGGTTTTTTTTCCCCCATCTGTAAAGTGAGGGTTGGAATAAACCCTCCCCCAAACTCCTTTCACCCTTCAGTTTCTATACTTTTCCCAGATTCTAAGGAGCTCTTCCGTGTCTAGCCCCGTGTATCCTAAGGAAGCCACACGTGGTGCCGTCGTCCCACACACACACACGTCTCAGCCTCTTGCCCCCGATTGTGTTTTTACACTTCTTAGACGATGCCCAGGTGCTCCCCGGGCTCCGATACAGCGGGGTTTCTCTCCTGTCGGGCAGGCTTTGTTTTGCGCTCCTTTTGCACGGACTACAAAGCCCAGGCCACTGGGGGAGACCTCAGGTACAGATGTCAGCTCTCCTCTCGGTGGGGAGAGAGAGAGAGAGAAAGTAGCTGGGGACGATTCTATCAGCCCCCTGATGGCGAAGAGGCTGAAGGGCCCCAGAGGCATGTGATGCTTTTCCGGCAAGATGTCAATGCCGGCGTTCTGCGGCCGCACCCCGGGCGCTAGCATTTCCAGGTCCCCCGCCGCAGAGCTGCCCCTGCCCGGAGGGCAGGCCTTGCACTGCTGCGGCGCTGCGGCCACCCGGGGTGAGGGTCCCGAGCTGGCCCGCGGAGCCCCCTTCCCTGCGCCCGCAAAGCTACGCAGGAGAGCGCTGCCCTCTAGCGACAAACCTGGGAGATGCGGCGCGGCCCGAGCCTCCGCGGAGCCCTGAGGCTGCGGGCACCTGCGAAGGCTGAGGTCGTGGCGGGTCCGTGTGGCTGGGAAAGACCGGAGGCTCTCTCTGTGTGTGAGGGGGGCTCTGGGACAGTCTGTGGCCTCCCTCTGGGCTCTGGGACAGTTTGTGGCCTCCCTCTAGGGCCAGGCCAGATGGATACGTGGCTGGATCAATAAACAATAGATGTATGATGGGTGGGTGATGGACAAACCAAAGGGCGGATGATGACAGGTGTCAGATCAGATGCGCATTTCTAGGGCTTGCTATAGGCCGGACACAAGGCTAAATCAATGCTTTCGCCCATTATTTCATTTGCGCCTCTCCGAACCTTACGAACGGCACATTCCCTCTGGTTCCTATTCGCCAAACGAGGAAAGTGAGGCCTTACATAAGACACATAACTTGCTTCTTGGCAGTGTTCCGCAGAACTAGAAAGTGGCGGAGTGAGAGCCTCAACCCGCAGCCCCAGACCCCACCGCCGGCTCCTGGCCCTCTCCCCTGAGCAGCGGAGGTGCGCCCCCAAGCCCCAGGCGCCCGGGGTACCGCGTCGCTCGTCTCTCCCTCGCCAGTCCTGGCACGCTAGCATCACACCCGCCCTGCACCCCCCTGTCACTCATCAAAACCCCCAGGACACTCTGGGCACAGCGCTAGAGGCAGCGTGTCCCCGACTGGGAAGCCTGGCTAGGGAGCTGGGTAAAGGCGGGTCCCCTCCCGCCGCTGCCGCGCGGCGTGTTGTCCCTAGAGGAACGCTGTTCCAGTCCACGTTTGGGCAAGGGTCCCACTAACGCGAAAGGGGAACGCTGTCCGGGGATTTTTAAGATTCCCGATAAGTTTCCATCTTTCTGTACTTTAACCCTTCCCTGAGCGCCTCCGACGATGCGCCGGACGCGGTTAGACTCTGAGGCAGGGACCTGAGAATCCAGTGGGGGAGGTGGGTACAGACAGGTGCATAAATGACATTCGGGACGGCCGTGCCGGGCACCCACCGCGACCACCCAGCGCCCCAGGGGGAGGCGGAGAAAGGGCAGGTTCACTCGCTCGGAGGGTCTCCAGCACATTCCAGAAATCTAAGTCTGCCCACCTGCCCCTCCTGACGCCTCCCCCTCGGCTCTCTCCGTGGAGCCCGCACCCCCAGGGCGTGCGATTTCAGTGACCTCACCCGGGGGGGACTTGATGTCATCCCACTCTCTCTCCACAAGCCCCGACTGCCTCGATGTGTCACCCAGCCCCGAGCTGAGCCACCCTGCGCCCCCCGCCCCCGCCCCCGGGCCCGCGTGCTGGGGCCGGGACGGACCCCTCCCACGAGGGCGTCGGCGCGGGACTGGCGTAGGGCCTGCGTCAGCTGCAGCCCGCCGGCGATTGGGGCGCGCTCGCCTCCTTGGCTTGGGGGCTAATTATAAAGTGACTCCGGCCGCCACCAGCCCCAGGACAGTCAGGCCAAGCGAGGCAGCCGCGCCGAGCCCTGCAGTCCAGCCCGCGGCCCCGCGGCGACGCCGAGGACCGCGACGGTGAGACCCGCGTCTGCCCGCGCCCCCGGCCGCTCGCCCCGATCCCCGCCCGCCTCACACCTGCCTTGTTCTCTCCCATCTAGAGCAGCGCTTGGGACCCGATGTCGCCGACCAGCCTGCGCCATCCGAACGGCATCAACGTGAGTGAACTTGTCCAAACCGCGCCTTTGCTGCGTGCGTTTGCGACCGTCCGCCCGCTCGGTTCGAATCGGCGTTTTCCTTCATTGCCTGGGGCGCCCCAACTTTCTTCGGGTGCCTGTTTGTGACCCGGGTGAATGTCGGCTCCCCCCCCCCCCC